AAAAATCGAATAACTCGAGAATGGCCGAATCAAATTGCAAAAAATAAAGTTATTTATAGACCTTCAAAACAGACAAATCCAAGTATGTAAAAATAACCCTGTATATTTTTAGTTCCATTTATTTTCCAATTTAGTTCCATTTAAAAAAATAAAGTACGTGACGACTTCCGGTATAACCGGAAAGTGCTAGAAATCTGAAAATATTTTAGATGATGAGAACGTAATTGATAATACTTAAGTCTGCATTCTCAAATTTTTTGTTTTGCCAGAACCCCAGAAACGTCTAATGACCTGTCTCGCTGAGACACCCTGTATATTGTGTGATTCACTACAAACGTTTGGGTTTAGCTGCACATCTCTCAATATGGCTAAACATGAATGTTTCTGGTTCTAGATCTAATATTAGTTCATGTGAGAGTGCTAGTTCTAGTTTTAATTGTTATTAACCAAATGTGGAACTAACACTAGACCATAGAAACATTCTGGTTTAGCTATATGTCCCTTAAGATGACTAAACCTGAATGTTTCTAGTTCTAGATCTAATGTTGGTGCTAGTGCTAGTTCTAATTTTAGTTAAACATCAATATTTATTTTCATATTTAAAAACAAAAAAATTTAACAAGAAAGTTATAAGAAATCAGTAAAAATATACTTATTTCACAGGGACATAATTATTCACACCTTAAATTATAATCTATACAGGAAAAAGTAAAAATAAATATCTAAAGAAAAATGGTTAAAAAAATTTCAGGTTAGAATTATTTTTTTTAAATAATTTCTTATTTACCTTAATAATAACGTTTGGGTGTAAATTACTGTTTTGATCCGGTGAAAAAGGAGTTTCACAAGCTTCGCAAACAATAGAATCCGGATTATTTAAAAGTGTACATCGTGTGCAAGTCCAAGATTTTTTCCATGATAAAGCCATATTTTCAGCCGATGAATCTGGATTGTAAATCCCGCTGGCAGTTGTGCGTATATTGCTGGGAAAATCGCCGTCAATTTTACTATTTTTCACCGTACATCCAAAACTCTTAATATTCGACAACGAAACATAACCTCTATCCAAAACGAATTTTCCTAATTTCTCACTTTCGCACCTATGCTCTATGGCACTTGTTGTTGGATTTGAACAGTGTTTGCACAGCACGTTCATTATTTCACATAATATACAGGGATTCGTCGGCGTGGTTTTAAGCGTTTCGTGACAATTTTTGCATTTCTTGATCAAATTGAGGTTAGGATAACTTGCCGAACGTTTTCTAAGCTTTTTTGTATCACTCAAAACTTCTTTACTACAAAAATAATAACAAATTAAATTAAGTTTTTAATTATAATTTTATCACATTCATTAAACATTTTGTTTTAGATATTTTAAAAAGCTCAAAATAATCCTAACCTAATTTTTTTTTTTTAAATATATGGAATTTTAATCAAAATATTTTATAAAAAATTAATATGATAAAGTATGTCTGATAAAAACTTAAAGAATTTAAAGCAAAATAAATACTTACTTCTAAGAAATCGTAGTTACCTTATAAAATTGAGGTTAGGATTCTTTTGTTATCAGTGGAAATTTTGTTTAGTAAAAACAAAAGAATGAAAACAAAGCATCACCATCAAAATCAATGTTATTTAAACAGAACAACCATACACACATACATTCGGTTTCTTTAACGCGATCAATAAACGGTGTATACAATATCGATTGTATATAATATACAAAAACAAAAAAAAAACAAGGAAAGCTCACCCACGAAGAACGCAACTTTTATTAATGGTCCTATAATTATTCTTGTATCGCCGTATCACCGTACAAAACCCGGAGGAATAAACATTACCGCCACCGCTGTTACCACCATCTTTACCATCTTTGTTTGTATGAAACTGTCGCGTCGAACCACATCTTGAACACTTTAAAGATTCGCCAGGGTGAATTAGGCCGCATTTAGCGCAGTGCCACTGCAAAACGGAAGCGATCGCACCCATTTCTCGTCATTCATCATCGCTCTTTTTCCTGTTTTCTGTTTGACGACGACGACGACAATCGCGAAAAACAGCTGTTCCACAACAACCCCCCGAATACACTCTCTGCGCTCGATTCTTTCTTTTCAGGAAGGTTAGATGTCTCTTCACTCTATCCACCAACCACTCACCTAGTTAAAAATTGGCGCTAAACTACGCATGCCTTACGTACTTGATCCATAGGAAACGCGTTCGTTCTACGCCAATCGAAAGACTTGATTACAACCCCACTACTGATTTTTCACGCATACGCAAGAATTTGAAGGTTATTTTTTTTGAATTTCTAGGTTATTCGTTATTCATTTATTTGTTTTCTTGAGGGGTTATTTATTTGTATAATTTGTGTATGTGATGTTTATGTTAAACAAATGTTAAGTTATTTATGTTCTTATTATTAGCTTACTGTTTGTATTATAATTGTTATACCTTACTAAGGTCCATTACTACCATCTTTTAGTTAAATTTATTTTATAGAATAGATAAACCCATCTACTAGCGCGAGGGGTAAACCGCTGGGGAAGTAGGTGTACAAAATAGGGGAAATGCGGAGGAATTATGGGGAAGTTCGACGAATTACGGGGAAGTCTGGGGAATTATGGGGAGATGCGAGTAATTACGGGGAAGTACAAGGAATTACGGGGAATTATCGAGGAAGTTTGGGGAAGTACGGGGAATTATTGGGGAAGTACGGGAAATTATTTAGGGAAATTTGGGGATATATTGAAACACGATTAAACACGATATCTAACGATCGAAGTTACGATGTTCCATAAACAAGCTAGATCTAGTATTAGGTGCGCAGTTTCTGTTTCATAAAGGGTGTGTGAATTGTTACTAGTAGAAGCATCGTTTTCATTCAAAGGTAAGATTGAATGAGTATCATATTAAAATTTAAATTTATATTAACATATCGTGAAGAGTCAATGGTACTAAATTCGCTCGTAAATTCTGTTTTGTATTAGGCGCCAGGATGACGGCAAATCGCTATCGCTGTTTTCAAGAGGCCGAAAATTTTCTACAATTTCAATTAAATGAAAATGTTAAGGAAATTCTTATTATTAGCGGATTTGATAATGAGGTGCTGCTTGGTACGATTGACGAAAATGATCTAGAAAAAATAGAAGCATTTATTAGAAATGACTACCATGAATTACTAACTTTGGAAGAAAAAAATTTGTTTTACGGGATTTTTAAAAATAATCCGCAGCAATTTAAATTGCTATCTGGCACGAAAAAACAAATAGTTTTAATTTCCAAATTTTATAAATCCAAATACGAGAGAAAAATATCGACTCAGTCTACGCAAACCGACATAACTGAAAACATTTCTGAGCAGACATTACCACCCCCCTCAGCACAACCATTAAGTGAGACTGCAGCTACAGATCAGGAAACAGAAAAGTGCGTTATATTAAAAGCTCTAAAGTGCTGGCTTAAAACAAAAGTTAGTCAGGAACAATGGTTAATATTTGAATCAAAATGTAATGGTATAAGCCTAAAAATTCAAAAAGGATTAGATAAACATTTTTCTTGCACTGTGACTTGCTTTTGTGGTCAAAGTTGCAAAATCCAAAAGGTGTCCAAAAAAGACACTTGTCAACCAAGATGGATATATGCTAATATTCATAAACATTTTTTAAGTAAACATATTACTGCGCATACGAACGATCAAATTAATGCGCCGGCAACTATTGTTGAAAGTAAACGCAGGGAAACATCAATTACTGATTATTTTACGTTGAACCCAAATCCGTGTTCTTCACGTGCAAGTTCTTCAGTTGAAAATAATTCACAAAAGATTATTATACTAGAAAATATTTCCGTAACACCTGTTGACCGTACTGACACATCTCATCATGAATGTCTGAAGAGTATTGAAAATATTTACTTTAATGAAACCGCCTCGGAAACCGATAAAGAAAATGTTTCCTCAGAAGTATCCGACGGCGTAACCGAGTGTGTAACTCCAACAAAGACCGAAATCTCGACTGACACCCTTACACGAGTTCCTACACGAAAAATTGTTACTCGTAATAATTCTCCCCAGACTAGCTCTTCAAAATGGAAATTAGAAAAGTACGGAAGAAGTGAAAGATCTAAACGCAAAAGAGACAATATTGACAATAATCAACTGTTTATAACAGACTTTTTTTCTTTACTAAACGACGCAACAAATGTTTTATCTGCTAATCCCGAAATAATTAATCAGATCGATGATACTCTTAAAATTAGAGGGGAAAGCGATTTCTCATTGAAAAATGCGAGAAAGAATGTGACAGGGTTGCTAAAAATTCTTTGTGAAATTTTCCTAAAAAATACAAAACGTTCAAAATATAAACACACTTTTGACGACGTTATTAAAAAATTTAGTCTTTATTTATTTTACATTGGTGGTACTTTGTATGGAGTCCTTTATACAAATTTAAAGGGCGCACTCCCAACAATTTCGACCCTGAATAGATATGTTAACAATCAGAATAAGTATTTTGATGAAGGCAGTTTCGACTTTGCCAATCTTAAAGTTTTTCTGGACGAAAGGAATCTTCCCTCGATTGTTTGGATTGCTGAAGACGCCACCAGGATAACGGGAAAAGTTGAATACAATTCTAGAAACAATACAGTGATGGGATTTTCTCTGCCACTTAGAAATGGTTTGCCTGTAACAGATGCATATTTGGCGACTTCAAATTGTCCTAAGGGCAACTGCGCCTACGTAATAATGGCGCAACCGCTGTGTCAAAACGCATCAGCTTATTGTTTATCAGTATACGGCACTGACAACACATTTATATACAAAGACGTTCTTCAACGATGGAAATATTTAGAAAAGGAAGCTAGTCGTTATGGAATAAAAATATTGGGTTACTCCTCTGATGGAGATACGCGGCTTCTAAAGACTATGCGTATAAGAGCAAAACTTCCTTTCAAACAAACGCAGGAGCCTAATTGGCCGTGGTTTCAAATACCCATAGACAATGAATTTAACCCTGTAAACTGGCAATGTTTGATGAGGTTCATATCGGAACTAAACTACGAAATCGCCTACTTAAAGCCAACATTTATTTGCCGATAGGAAATTTTACTATATCCGTAACGCATATTGAAGAACTAGTGAAGAATCAACCAAAAGACAAACATTTTTTAACGATTTCCGATCTAAATCCAACAGACCGAATGAACTTCAAATCAGTGGAAAAAATTACATCCTTAGAAGTATTGGAATTGCTGAAGAACGTAGAAGGTTCAGAAGGCACAATCTCGTATTTGAAAGTCATCTGTTACATATTAAACGCATTCTTAAATAAAAACATATCTTTAGAAAAACGACTGTATTATATTTGGTACGCTGTGTACATATTAAACGCATTCTTAAATAAAAACATATCTTTAGAAAAACGACTGTATTATATTTGGTACGCTGTGTTTTACTTCCGCATATGGAGATATTGGATAAAAGAACACAAAACATATAAACTAACCGATAATTTCATCACTTTAAACGCCTACGTCTGTGTAGAACTAAATGCACACTATTTGATAAAACTTTACGGTCCCATTAATTTACTTGGTAACGGCATATTTCAAATTAGCAGACATGATGATGTAGAAATAAAGAAATTATACAAAGCTTTCAAACAAAATTATAAAAAGCTTTAAATCTGTTTTGTCAGTATTATTATTTTCTGTTTTTATATAGAAAAACTAAATGTTTTTATTTGCCAAAGAATATATGTTAATTTTTATTGACTTTTATTTGGGTGTTTTACTTAAATACACACGTGGATATGCCGTCCGAAGGGAGAGGAGGTACGAGTATGTAAGAGGAATTACGGGGAAGTATACGGAAGTATCGGGAAGTATAAGGAATTATGAGGAAATACACGGAAGTACAGGGAAATACTAGGAATATAAGTAGGAAGTATAAGGAATTATTTGTCAAAGGGGAAGTAGGTGTACAAAATTTGAACTGTCGGTTTACCCCTCGTACTAGCCAATCAGAGCGCGTGAAATAGCCGTAACCATAGTAATAATCCATTAGATAGCTTAACCAGAAGATGGTAGTAACGAGCCTAAGGCAGTCAGGTAGTAATGGACCTTAGGTCCATTAATAATCTAATCTTTAAGCCTAATCTTTAACCTAATCTTTTAGTTAAATTTATCTTATAGATAAACCCATCTACTAGCCAATCAGAGCGCGTGAAATAGCCGTAACCATAGTAATAATCCCTTAGATAGCTTAACCAGAAGGTGGGTTTATCTATAAGATAAATTTAACTAAAAGATGGTAGTAATGGACCTTAGGCCCACTTTTACCATCCTCCTGATAAACTATCTAGAGCAGCGGTTCTCAAACTTATATCCTTGCGTACCACTAAGGCTATTTTAAAAATCAGGTAGTACCACTGAACAAAAAAAAACAATAATGATAATGCAAATATAAACTGTTTTGCGTACCACTTGAGAACTTCTCGCGTACCATCGTACCATAGTTTGAGAACCACTGATCTAGAGGATAGTTGCCATGGTTACAGCGGTTTTAAGCGCTCTCATTGGCTAAGAACTGGATTTATCTATCGGATAAATTTATGAGGAGGTGGTAAAAGCGGGCATAATTCGACTTGGATATGTTGCACTTAAAGTGTGTACTACGACAAGGTCCGTTAAGTAAACATCGTAAACATACTTGTATAAGGTTATCCAACTCTATATGAAGTTCGTATAGAGTACTTATACCCTTATATCTCCTGATGAAGTTCCTTTCAAAGGGATATCACTCCGAGCAGTGACAACTAACCAGTCAACCGGTACAAAAATGTTTGTGCAAAAAGAATAATTTGTTGTGTAATTCTAAGTGTCATATAAGTGGTTCAGTTACATATAAATAACATTTATTTCTCTTATTATTTTTTTATGTACTTCAAATAACATAGTTTATTGATAACATTCTCTTTGTATTTATTATTTATATTTAAGTATTCAAAAACAAAAATTATTTTTCAACCATTTTTTATTTCATTCCTTAAATAACAAAACCGTCGTTTTGTCTACGTCTTTCATACATTATTTTGCACAACTACGTTATTTCACAGAATAACTAGGTACTGTATTGTATAGAATAAATATAGTATAAAATAAAAAAATTATTTTATA